AAACAAAAATCTTTGTTTCAAACTATAGAAACAACAGGAGAAAAAGAAAGAAGTGACCCAGAGAAATTTCTGGGTAACATGGTGAGAGACAGAGGAACAGGGTGCCCCTCCTCCCCAGCCCTCCTGCCATAGCCCGTACATAAGTGACCTGCATCTGGGAAATGAATTAAAAAGGTCAAAAGGTTTAACAGTTCCCTTGTATCACTTAGTTTATATTCTCTCCCCAACTCTGCAATCTAGTAGCTTGCTACTGCTATGGGACTCCAGTCACCCACTTGCCCTAACCAGCTCTCCTGGTCATGACCAAGGAGACCCAAAAGCATAACGATGGCTCAGTGTAGACTCAAGACCCAATGTCATGCAATGTTAGGAACTGGCGGGAGTTACTCATATACCATTAGGTCTGAGGGAAGGCAGAATAATGGTGCCCAAAGATGTCCAGATCCTACTCCCTGGAACCTGTGAAGATGTTTTATCGAGTAAAAGGGAATTAAGGTTGCAGACAGTTAAAGTTGCTCCCCAGGAGATTATCCTGGGAGACCCACTGTCATTACTGAGGTCCTCAAAAACCGAAGGAGGAGGGCTATGGGCGTAGGTCAGGAGTGCAGGTAGAGTGCTCTTCTAGCATGTGTGAGGCCGTAGGTTGAATCCCTAGTATAACCACCACACACACACACACACACACACACACACACACACACACAGTGGAAGTAGTGGAAGTGGGAGGCAGAAGAGTGAAAGATAGAGAGTGAGAATGAGAGGCCAGCGAGATAGAGTGACAAAGGAAGCAGTTTCCAGTATATGGGGCTTTGAAGATGAAGGAGGGGATCACAAGCCAAGGAGTGCAGGTTGCTCCTACAACGGGCCAGGAAACAGTTCTCTCTAAGCCTCAGGAAGGAAGGCAGTTTCATTCACGTCTTGATTTTAACCCCATGACCTCTGGCCTCTAAAACGGTAGGATAATAAAAAGTTATGTTGTTGTGGGGGGGGGGAGAGGATTTTTAAAAATTAAAATGTGTTATGTACACGTACCAACTCCCCACAAGGAATGTTATCATTACGTACTACAAACATGTACCAATAAAAATAAAATATTAAGTAAAAAATATTTACTTTTTAATCTGTTTGAGACAGGGTCTCCCTATGCAGTTCAGGCTGGCCTTGAGCTCACTTTGTAACCTAGGCGATCCTCCTGCCTCAGCCTCCTGAGTGCTGGGATTACAAAGCATTTGCTACCATGCCTGGCTAGTCACATTTTTAAAAAAAATTATTTTCTTTTTTGGTACCAGGAATCAAACTCAGGGCTTCACACTTGCCAGGCAGGGCGCTGAGTGCTAAGCTACATCCCCAGCCCTAGTTACATTGTTTTAAGCCACTAAATTTGTGGTAATTTCTTATGGAAGCCATAAGAAGATAGTACATGTCCCAACCCTTCATTGATGAGGTTTTAGAAGCCTGGTCAACAGAATTACTTTCCTATGCATCAGAGATATCGGTGTCCACCAATACCTGCACCCCCAGCCCCCAGGACAAATGCTTTACTCTCTGAACTGGTTTCACTTGTGCAGTGGGAATTGTGGTGAACTGAGCAGAGGTTGTTTAGAAATGTAAAGTCGTGGTTTTCACAGTTCAGCGCATTAGCTGTTCCTCCTATCACTACGCAGCATGTGCGTGGAGAGCTGATCGGGCTGCTGATGGTATGATGGGACACTTTGGGGTGCCAGGCATCGCCCCCCAGGGAGATTTAAGAACACAGCTGGGACCCCCCCCCCACACACACACACTGCAAAAAAGGTCAGGAACTGTACTCCGTGTGAGGGCAGAGCGTCCCCAATGTGACAACTGCGGTTAGGGCGCCTCTTTCCCCTAAGCACCACAGCTCGGAACCTTGTGCTCTTCCCTTACCCAGTGTGACTGTCCCCAAATGGCCCCGGCCTACCGGTCCTCCCCCACCACCGCCACCACCTCCTGGCTCAGCCTCCGCGGGTCCGCCGCCCGCAGGAACTAGGGGTTCAAAGACCGGAGGGGACGGAAGCGGGTAACGGATGGGCGCTTCCGGGGCGGGGGCAGACGTGGTCATGGCAAGGCAGGTGAGTGTGGGGTCCCCGATTTGGGGGTGTCAAATTGTCTTGGGGTTAGGCGGGCGAGGAGGTCGGAGCAGCCAGGAAAAGAAGTGAATCCCGGGGGGCCGACACTCCCGGGAGGTGGCCCGCAACCGGGGCGGAGCCCTCCCCGGCCACCGGGGCCGTCCTCAGCGACGGCAGCGGGGCCTCTGCGGGTCCCTCGGCCTTTCAAGGGGCGCCCAGCCTCGGCTCGGGCCGTCACCTCCAACTGAAATCACAGGTCAAGCATGCGCAGCAGGGAGGCGGGCGCCCATTCCTGATGGACTCCCCTTCTCCGGATTTTTTGAGCGCAGAGCTGAGCTGACGGCCCGACCAATCAGCATGCAGGGGCGGAACCATAAACTGTGACGATGGCGGGGGCAGTACAGGATTGGGTGTCGTTGCAGAGGGGAGGAGCATCTGCGGAACCATCGTCCAGGATCCAGGCTGTGGGCCCGGTTGCGCCTCACTGGGGATGGGGTGTGGGGTAACTGAGACCGCTAGGCCTCCCATAGTATTTGATTCCAGCTCCCTGCGGAGGAAGCTGGAGCATTTGTCTAAAGGCCTTGTTTTCCAGCGGTGCTTTACTGAGTCAGCAGAGGGCATGTATGTCCCTGTTCACTGAAGCCCCTGGATTTTTCCACCCAGCATCCTTGACAACACAGCAGCTCTCACCTTTGGTCCAACCCTCGCCCATTAGTCCAGCCTTCGTCTATTGGTCCAGCTCTCCCCGCTGGTCCAGCCGGCCTCGCGTCGCCACAAAGTACTTGCCATCCCTCCAGCATCTCAGAGCGCCGGGGACAGGGATGGCTCTAGCTCTGGGCGGTGCTTTGCTGGGACACCTGGGGGCTTTCGGTTGAACCCCCGCCCTCCATCCTTTTGCTTCAGCCTCTTAAGAGTGCTGAGATTACTGGCCTGTCCCACAGCCTGACCACAGGTGATAGCTGCAGTGTGGAATCTAAAATGACATTACTGTCATTTTTTTTCCCTATTTTTTTAAAATCCAGTGGTCTGTTTTGCACTTTACCCACATGTGGTTTTGTGACACCATTCACTGGTCTTCTAGAAAATAAGAACTCATTGATTAATGCAGGTCTTATGAATGTCAACACATTCTAATTATATAATAAAATGATATAACCCTCACAAACATTGCCATCGATCTCAATAGAAATTTCTTGAAGTGTCAGGAAGCTGTGAGACTAATGATAAAAATTTTCCAAAATTTTAACTTTTGCTTAAAAGCTAGAGTTTCCTCATTGGCAACAAATACTGTCTTTTATTTTCCTTGAAGGAACCGACTCTCTTTTGTTTTCATTTTTTAGGAAATGTCTGCAAGAGATGATACTGTACGCAGGGCTCTTTGCTCACTGGACAGGGTCCAAGGAGTTTCCCAAAAAAGAAATGGAGACCAGGACTCCGCCCTCTGAGTAGGTTCTTGACTCTGGCCACAGAAGAAAGAATTTCAGGATGCAGCAATGAGAGGCATAGACAAGTTTCCTTAGGCAGAGTTAAAGTGCCCGCTGGAAAGTGGAGAGGCACACTACAGTTTGGAGCTGAAGATATTTTTATGTGTCCTTGGAGGTGTCCTTTAAGGTAAGTGGTCTAAGATGTTTTTCCTAAAAACATTATTTGAATCCTTTGGGTCTGTTACTTCATTTTAAAACCAGATTGCTACTCTTTGCCTTATCAACTAGGTGAATTTATGGGTTTACAATACCTTTAAGGGGTCTGAGTGTGATGGGCCTAATAGAAACAAACAAACAAGCCTAGGGAGCCCGGTGTAGTGGCGCATACCTGTAACCCCAGCACTGGGGAGGCTGAGGGAGGAGGATCACTGCAAGTTAGAGACCAGTCTGGGCTATAAAGACCACCCTGAACTGTATAGCAAAACCCTGTCTCAAAAAAAATGAAACAAAAAAACCCTCAAAACCAAAAAAACACACAAACAAACAAACAAAAAAACCACCTAGTGAAAGAGCCCAGGAAGCAAAGCTATGGAGTATAGGTAAGGACAACTTTCTGTCCTGAACCTGTAGTTTTCTTAAGTCAATGTTTTATTTATTTATTTATTTAGGGATTTTTGTTGTTGTTGTTTCATTTTTTTGAGACAGTGTTTTGCTATTTATTTATTTATTTGTTTGTTTAGGGACAGGGCCTCACCACGTAGCCCAGGCTGGCCTCAAACTTGTGGTGATCCCCTGCCTCAGTCTCCCAAGTGCTGGGATCACAAGTGTGTGCCACTGTGCTTGGCAAAAGTATAATTTTAAAATTGCAATTTTTCTTGTCACCTTTCTACCTATTTTATTTCTTGTATTTTACTTACTTTACCTGGTGATAATAGAAACTGAAAAACAGACCAAGAACTACAAGGATGAAGGCAAAGGTTTAACTGAGACAGAAAAGAAATTGGGGAGGAGCTTCAGTCTGAGAGGAACTAAGAGAGGCCAGTGTGGCCTATTAACAAAGGAAAGAGGAGCTGTGGCTTCTGATGTATGATCCTGAGTGCTGGCTTTACAGGCATGGGTTTGTTTGTTTGTTTATACTGGGGATTGAACCCAGGGCCTTTGCATTGAGCTACATCCCTACCCTTTGTAATTTTTTTTTTTTTTAATTTTTTATTTTTTGAGGCAGTATCTTGGTTACTTTTCTCTCGTTGCTGGGACAAAATACCTGACACCTAAAGTTAAAGGACAAAGGGTTTATTTAGCTCACAGATCTTGAAGGTTTCAGTCCATAAATGGTTGGCCCCAAGGCAGGGTGGCACATGGCAGAGGGGCAACTGTTCATGGTGGTGGAAGACAGCAAAAGCAGCAAGAGCAAAAGGGAGGAGCAAGCCTCTTTTCCTCCCTTGTATTGTATGCAGGTGTAGCACTCATACCCCCCAACCCCAACACTAGACACTGAGCCAGTCACAAACTATAGATTCAACCACCTCTGAAAAGCCTGTGCCCTGTGACCATGAGGCTTTGGGGGGACATCTAGACATGCACCATACTAGGCAGTATCTCACTAAGTTGCTAAATTGCCTAGGTTGAACTTGAACTTGTGATCTTTGTGCCTCAGCCTCTCAGAGTGTCAAGTATTTATAACAATGACACAAATATGAAGTGACTCATCGGGTGTGATGGTGCCTGCCTGTAATCCCAGCAGTTGGGAGGCTGAGGCAGGAGGATTACCACCAGTTTGAGGCCAGCCTGGGCTACATAGTTCAAGGCCCCTCTGAACTACATAGCAAGACCCTATATCAAAAAAACAAAAAACAAAAAAGCGACTTGAATGTTCATCGAATGATGTCGGACTTCTCCAACTCTGTCCAGGGTGAGCAGATCCCCTGAACTAGGTGCCTGCAGATGTACAAGAAAAGTAAGAAAAACATCAAACCACGAGAGCCAAAATTCTGTGATCAGGTGCTAGCAGCCTCTAGGATTGACTGCCCCCTAATACCAAATTCAGTCACCTTTTATTGAGCAAGAACCAAGGACTTGGCTAGGACAAATGGGTAGATACCAAACATTTTAGCAAGAATAATTAAAGGATCACCTGAGACACGCCTATAATCCCAGCATTCAGGAGGCTGAGACAGGAGGATCTTAAACTCAAGGTTAATCCAGAATGTATAATAAAGCCTTATCTTAAGAAACTCTAACAAACAAATCATTGTGTCCTCAATGCATTCTAATCAAATAATGTCCTTCTCCACAAAATGATGAATGAGTAAATTATCTACAATGAGATATTAATCTTTACAGTGGGACTAATGACAATGTTCCCTACAATAGAATATTATTCTACCAAAGTAGGAAGAAAGTACAGATACATGCAACTGGGTAGATGAACTCATGATACAAAGTGAAAAGAAGCTAACACAGAAGGCTGCATATTATATGAGTCCACCTGTATGAGATGTCTGGAATGGGCACATTAACAGGTAGAAAGTGGATTAGTACTATAGTTGCCAAGGCCTAGGGAACTGGGCTTCTTTTGGGGATGATGAGAAAGTTTTAGAAATAGTGCTGGTTCAACCACCCTGTGAATATACTAAAGGCCAAGAACTGTATACTCTAAAATGGTGAGTTTTATGGTTTAATTAAATCCCAATCAAAAAAGAAGAAGGTGGGAAGAGTGCTAGGCAGGGTAAGCTGAGGCAGGAGGATTGTGAGCATGTGCTACACAGTGAATTCCAGGCTGGCCTGCCTACACAGCCAGACCATTTCAAAAATCGAAACTAAAACCAAACAAAAGAGCAAGTGGCTGGGCTTGGTGGCACAAACCTGTAATCCCAGCACTCAAGAGGCTGAGGCAGGAGGATCGTTGTAAATTTGAGACCAGCCTGGGCTACAAAGTGAGCTCAAGTCCAGCCTGAACTGCATAGTGAGACCCTGTCTCAAAAAAAACAAAAACAAAAAAGAGGTAAAGGAGAAAGAGGAAGAAGAAGAAATGTGTGGTCAAAAAAGTGGCATATAGTGGGCTTAGGGCTGTAGCTCAGTGGTAGAGTGCTTGCCTAGCTTACACAAGGCTGTGGATTTCATCCCCAGCACTACACACACACACACACAAAGTGGCAATGAAAGTTGGTCAAGGTATAATCCCAGTAATCTCAAACTCAGGAGGCTGAGACAAGAGGATCATAGTTTCAGCTAGCCTGGGCTACACAGCAAGTTCAAGGTTAGGTTGTACCACACAATAAAACACTGTCTCAAAAAAATGCCCTGTCAATGTTATGAACACCTGTAATCTCATTTTTCCACGTCATTAATTTTATTTTATTTATTTATTTTTGTCTTTGAGACAGGGTCTCGCTATGCAGTTCAGGCTGGCCTTGAGCTCACTTTGTAGCCCAGGCTGGTCTCGAACTCTCAGCGATCCTTCTGCCTCAGCTTCCTAAGTGCTGGGATTACAGCATGTGGCACTATGCCCAGCATCATTAATTTTAAATAACAGAAAGTAAAAGTAAAATATGCCCTGTTGTTTATTTATTTATTTATTTACTTTGTACCGGGAATCAAACTCATGACCTCAGGCTTGCCAGGCAAGTACTTACGCCGCTGAGCTGTGTCCCGGCCCCTGTGTTTTATTTTAGACGTGTATTTTCTGTATACTTTCAGAACTATTTACATTAACATCTCTTAATTATTTAAACTATTTGTCAATTGTTAGTCTAATTGTGTGTGTTGTTGTTTTGTTTTGTTTTGTTTTGAGACAGATTCTTGCTATGTAGTCCAGGCTTGCCTTGAACTCCCTGCAGAGCCCAGGCTGGCCTCAAACTCATGGCAGTCCGCCTGCCTCAGCCTCCCAAGTGCTAGGACTCAGAGGCATGAGCCACCATACCTGGCTACCTTTAAACTAATTATGAAGCATAGTACTTGAAAAAAGTAATTGCTATGCTTTATATCAACACTGGCTTTTTCTGTAGTTCCATCATGCAAGGTTTTCACACACTGTACATACTCTTAAATTTTTTAAATTATTTATTTATTGGTTTCTTTTGAGAAAGGGGTTTTACTATGTACCCCAGGCTGGCCTTAAACTCTTGGCAATCCTCTTGCCTTAGTCTTCTAAATACTCTGATTACTGGTATGTGAAACCATGCCTGGCTCAACCTAATATTTTAAGCGTTGGGAAATCCTGGCCTTCTGTGGGTGAGGAAGTTATGTGGTCAGACTTGAATTACAAATTGCCATGAGCCCGGGCCCATATGCACATGTGCGAGAGATGGTTCTCCTTCCTCAGAATTTATTTTCAATCCTAACATAAATATAGCTTGAATCTTTTTGTTTCTTAGTAGCTTGAAATTTTAGCCCAAGTATTGTATAAGTGACAGATGAGGGCACACATCATTCAGTTCCTTTGTTCGTATTTTTGAAATAAAGTAGGACTGATGGTTTCATTCATTCATTCATTCATTCATTCACTCACTCATTCGTTGGTACTGGGGATTGAACCCAGGGCCTTTGCACTGAGCTGCATTCCCATGCTGTTGTTTTTTTTTTTTGAGATAGGGTCTCACTAAGTCATGAAGTTGCCCTAGCTAATCTTAAGCTTGCAATTCTGCCTCAGCCTCCCAGAGTGTGGGGATTACAGGTGTGCAACACTATGCTCAGCTGAGACTTTGCTTTTTTTCTCCACTTCCAGCTCAGGACCAACTGGAGAATGCCCAACATCCACCAAACACCATCCTGTCCACACCCTGCCCCTACGGAGCCGACCTGCTTTCCCGGGCAAACAACAGCCTCCCTGAGGGCTCACCTGAGCACTATGAAGCTGTTCCCTCCTCCGGCACTTTAGAGTTTCCATTGAGTCTCAGCGGTGGCGGCTGATCCTCTAGTGAGAGCAAGCTCCAGTGGGGCCTTGCTGGGTCTCACTCGGGTGCTGCTGTGTATCCCATACCAGGGAAGCCAGGCTGATGAGCAGCCTGGGGCATTCCCCAGTGGGGAGGACCAAGCTGGGCTCTCAGTTAAGTACAGGTCACCAGGTGGTGGGTGAAATGTGGGGGACCAGGCAGGGGACAGAACCCGGGAGGGCGTCTGGACCAGCATGTCTGCCGTGTGGAAGAGGTTGGACAGCAGCCTGATGACTGGGGGCTTTAAGAACACATGTGGCATTTTCAGATCCTCAGACAAAATTTGAGGAGTGAAGGAAAGTAGGGAAGGCTGGGAAAGAGATCCCGAGGGAAAGGCTGGCGTCCCTGTCCATGCTTGAGGGCACTGAGTCAGCAGAGGGTGGGCTGGGAGACTTGGGCATCCTGGGAGGGCCCCGCAGAAGGGCTGCGGCCTCCTGGAGACAGGCTGTGGGAGACAGGGTCACTCAGAACCGGGCTCACAGGGGGACAGTGGAGATCGTCACCGAGCTAGCCGCCAGGGACAGGAGTCCAGGAGTCAATGAACAAGGTCTAAGGAGGTTCCTGACCCTGAGCTAAGGAACCTAAGTCACCATTCTCATAGAATAAATTTGCAGGTTTGCTGACTCCAATTGAGGAAAAAGAATTTTCAGAACTAGTCAGGAAGAGGCCCAGGAAGAGTTTTATTAGGCACAAATTAAAAGGTACACAGTCAAAAAATAGAATGTGTGCTCTGAAGAGAGAGAGATGATTCCTTCCCGGAACTGGGAACATTTATGCTCCTCTTGAGGGGTGGAAACCCCAGGAAAAGGTGGCCCCAACCCCAGAAGGGTACTGACCCATATTACAGATATGCACTCAGTTTTATTTTATTTATTTATTTATTTATTTTTCCAGTACCGGGAATCGAACTCATGACCTCCCACTTGCCAGACAGGCACTGTGCCGCTGAGCTAAGTCCCCAGCCCCTTTATTTTATTTTTATATGGATAATTTAAGTGTACTTTGGACTCTCTCAACCTGTTCCTTTCTCATAGGGTGAAGTCTCTGGTTTTTATTTTCTCAATTAAGCCAATTTATCAACTTTCAATATTCCTGAGGAATTTGGGGTGTGATTGGTTTGGAAGGGAAAGAGTCTGAATTTACCCAAGAGAATGCTGATATGGATTGCCTTGGCTGACTTCAGCTGAGTCCTGGAAGTTACAGTCTTCTTTTTCTTTTTCTTTTTTTCTTTCAAAACAGGGTCTCATTATGTAGCCCAGGTTGGCCTTGAACTTGTGACCATACTCCTGCCTCAGCCTCTGGGGTCCTGGTATTACAGGCATGCGCCACCATGCCTGTCTTACAGTCTTCTTAAAAGTACAAATTTTAGTTATGATTTCTTTGTCTCCTTTCTACCTATCTTTTATGTCTTCCATCCTACCACACCGGTGCTTTGGCCCACCACTGCAGTGTCCCCAGTGCCTGCGTCCACAGAGACAACACACCATAAGGAACCTGAAGCAGCTCATTACTTACGAGTGGCAGCAAGGGACAACAGAGCAGCCTCCCTGCCCCAGCTCAGGAAGCTGTGTGGCTGGGTGGACTCTGCTGCGTGTACCCATTATACCACTCTGGAGGGAGCCTGAAGGTAGCCTATCCTGTTTTCTGTACCTCAGAGGCCACTTGTGTATGGCCAAAGCTTCGAGGGAGGAAGGAAGTGTGCCCAGGCTGTCCCTGCAGCTCCTCCCCATTACTTCCCCCCGAGAGGCTGGAGCAGGGCCAGGCCATCTCAGGTGCCTCCCCCGTCTCCGGATGTGGCCTTCCCAGTACATTTTACCATTGTTCTTGAGAACCACAAGCAAGGGGAGAACTGGTCTGGTCCAAGGCCGCCCACAGAGCCGTCCCGCAGCCCCTGCAGGGCGTCAGGGGCCAAGGGAGAGCTGTTACTTCTCCTTTCAGGACAAGAGCAGCAGGAAGGGGACACCTCAGGGACCCACCTAGTTAATGGCAGTGTCTGATTTTCTTTCTTTTTTCTTTTTGTCCTTTCTCCCTTATCCTGAATCCTGGGGATTGAACCCAAGTCTGTCACAATAAGTTACATCCCAGGCCATTTCTTTCTTTTCTCTTTCTTTCCTTCCTTCCTCTTTCTTTTTTCCTTTGCTTTGCTTTGCTTTGCTTTGCTTTGCTTTCCTTTGCTTTCCTTTCCTTTCCTTTCCTTTGTTTCTCTCTGAGACAGGGTCTTGCTAAGTCACTAAATTACCCAAGCTGACCTCAAACTTGTGATCCTCTTGCCTCATCTTCCTAGAGTTCTAAGATTACAGGCCTGTGCCTCCACACCTGACTTAGAGACAAGTCTTTTTTTGTTGTTGTTTTTCAATTGGTGGTTTCCTCTTTATTGATGTGACTCCTACCCTCCTTCCACAATTTCAATCCCTTCCATTGCCACCGAAGAAAGAAAGTTGTGAAAGGGATTGCTGGGGTTCTGAACACCCTGGACAGTTAGTAAGGGAACAGAAACCAAAACAATCACTGGGTGTGACAGAGTGACCATCAAGAAGTCTAAACCACCTTCGGAAAGGATGGTAAAGAAAGGGGAAGAAAGGAGAAAAGAGGTACAAAAGGCCACATCCACCATTACCCCTCCTGCTAAGAGGGGCTGGATAGAAAGTCTTAATCTTTAAGAAGTGCAGGTCCTGAAGAAGGGAAATTGTGTTTGAGCCTGAAGGAGCTAGAGATCAGGAAAGGGGTGCCACCTCTCTCTTTGTGGAATGGAACCTCCCACCTCTGGGGTAGCAGCTTCACAGACCATAAACACTTTCATCACTGCAGGCAGTGTATAGAAAGAAGGCTTCTTCATGGTGTTCCTGGTATAGCTGACCCATTGTAGCACTGGGGGGTGGGGGGTGGAATAACATTGTTGACAAAGAAAAAAAAGGCGCCCTCAGCTCGGAGGTAAATTCGCTTCCAGATCAAGAAGTAGAACTGACCAACTGTGAGATCAGAAGGCACCAAGGTATTTCTTTTTTGTCCAGGTCCCCTATCCAAGCTTTGAGGGCCTTTTTTACTATCACCAGAACCCGGTCTGGGTATTTTTTTCGGATCTTCTTGCCCTCAGAGCAGCACTCTGAATGGATGCTCCTCTTTGTACATGAAGAACTTCATCCTCCTGGGAACCGGGCTGGACCGAGCTAGGCTGAGGGAACCCGGGGAGGGGGGGCCAGGATGGGGCAGCGGCAATGGCAAAGACACACGGGCCTAGAGACAAGTCTTGAAGGGCCCAGAATCCTGGAATTCCAAGCCTGGTCCTAGAAAAAAGTCAGACACACAGTAGAAACTCAATCATATTTTTTGTTTATTTTGTCCCCTAAATTTACATTGCTGTTACTGAAATTACTTTCTTGTAAGGGTGGCCTTCCTCTCTGCTAGCAGCAGGATAGGATCTTCTTAGTCCCTTTTACTGCTGTTCTCCATATTCCACTGGAAGAGAGGGGCGCGTTAGAGGAGAGTGAGGGGGTTGGGCCTGCCAAGCTCGCTTGGCTGCCCCGGCCTTTCCCAGGCTTCACATTACTCTGTGCATTCCGACCCCGCACCCGCCCCCAGCCCAGCCCTGCCCCTGTACCTTCTTCACAGACTGCACCATCAGATAGGCAGCAGCACCTATGATAGCCACAGTCACCCCGGCCCCAATGAGCCACACGACAGGTCCTGAGAATGCCAGCTTCACAGAAATTTCAGGTGCCATCTGGATGGGGAAAGAATGTGCCAGGTGACCTTGGTGACCCCATGCCCATCCTACACACTGTGGACATGAAGGAGGCTGGGCTCAGATCCCAGAGGACACTGGGGCAGGATCAGAGAAAAGCACAGCGACCCCAGCCAGAAGGAAAGAATCCTGCCAGACCTCAACTCCTCTCCCTACTACAGTGACCAGCTGGTGGCCTCAGGGCAGTGACTTAGCCTCTTTGAGCCCAGCCTCCATAGGTCAAGGACCACAACCTCCACCTGGGCTGGTGGGACCCTGGGGGACACATGGAGGTGCTCAGAGCAGTCTCAGGAGCACTCGGTGAGAGCCAGGAGGCCCCAGAGGGGCTCAAGGGTTGAGGGACCAGTTTACTCTCACTCCCTAGCACTGTTCCTCCACCAGGAGATGGAAGCTGACAGATCCTTCAGGTTCCCTGAGAGCTTCAGGGCTGAGGCTAGGGACACCCCCCCCATATCAGGTGTCCTAGAGGCTCAGCTTTAAGGGGAGGAGCTGACCTCATAAGCCACTGAGGTCTTTACTCAGCCTGGCTCCATCCAGCCAACCGGGAATGTGTCCAGAGTCCTGCTCTTGTCCTCAGGAGCTGGCGGGTGAATGTGGCCTACCTAGCTGCTGTAAGGTGTGGACTTTGACTCTTACCACAGAAAGACTCATGACCGACAGTTCTTGACCCATCTTCTTGGTAGCTGCGAGCTTCCCTGTCCTGCTGGGAGAAAAGCCCAAGTCATCTTCTTCACCCTCTCTCTGCAAGCCCTGGAGCCCCAAATCATGGCATGTTCCAACCTCAAGGATCACCCCTGGAGGGGCCACCTGGCCAAGAGGCAATGGGGATGGCCGAGGAGCCCACAGGTGGTGCAGCCCACCCCACGTGCATCCACAGAACACTGTCTGCACCTCGGCTCTGCAGATTCAGGCCTGCCTCTACAGGCCGGGGAAGGGGCTCAGGATTGAGGACTGGGCATCCCCCCAGTGCTTCTCAGCCTTGCCTGAGCCCCTCCCTAGCCTCAGGGCCCCTGTACCAGCTGCAGTGGATCAGGGATGATTACCAAAATGGCCCTCTACCTGCAACCCCTCTGCCCCACCCTGTGGCTTCCTGACAGTTCTGACTGCGGAAGCAGCAGCACAAGGCTGGAGGAGGGGAGGAAGTCCAGCGCATGGCCGTGTGCTGCAATAAGCAGGTGGAAAGCCAACTCCTGTCACCTCACCTTCAAGCCACAGCCCCGGCTGCCTGTTCCCAGGGTCCCTGCCGCCTGTGGAATGGTGGCTGCTTCCTTTGGTGCCAGCCTGTGAGCCTTCTAGGGCTTCCCGGCTTCTCATCTCCTGACCCAGCTTGGAAAATTGTGTCCTGTGGTAGGACTTCTGTCCCTTCCTGCGGGCCCCAGCTCCCTCCACACCGAGACCCCAGGCTTGGCCTCTTGCCCCTCCTTTTTGCTTCCTCAGTCCTCAGAGGATATCTCTGCACCCCACCCCACTTGTCCCTAGCTGATTTCCTGTGCTGCCTGGCTCCTGACCCCACCTCACTCCTCTGTGGAGTCCTGAAGCATCCAGGGTCCTGAGAGCTGCCTGGAAAGAAGCCTAAGGGGCTGGGGCCCCCTGAGTGGGCGTAGAGGAAGAGGTAGCTCCAGCCTGCAGCCTGCTCTCTGCCTTCCCTTCCCAGTTCCCCGGCCTCAGCCCCCTCAAAGTCTCACCTTCTATGCAGTGACACCCTGTGGCTAACCCCCCTCAACCCCAAGGTCTTGCTGCCCTTTCTAGAAGGAAGATCTGATTCTTACCTGCAAAGACTGCCCCTGCCCCAGTTGGTAGGCCTCCCTTGGCCAAGAACCCTCCCCAGCCTCAACTTCCCTCTTCAGAGACCTATTTGTCCCCCAGATTAATCCCATGTCCCCTCCCAGTAACGAGCCATCTGTGGAAGCCCCCTACCTCGGGGCTGGTTCTCCTTCCTGGCTCCTCTGTGCCTGCGCGTCACACTCACCCAGGCAAGGAGGCAACTCTGCTCTTCTCCGTCTGGTGGCCAAGACCAGGAAATAGCATCTGGGTAGTTGCTTCTCCCACACCCATCTCTTTCTGGGAGTTTACCATATTCGAAAAACATTGTTTTCTCAGAAGACATGTGACATGACCCAGCTCTGAACTTGGTTCATCTTTGTTTCTTTGTTTCTTTCTTTTTTGTCTTTTTGAGACAAGGACTCACTATGCAGTTCAGGCTGGCCTTGAGCTCACTTTATAGCCCAGGCTGATCTCCAAACGATACTCCTGCCTCAGCCTCCCAAGTGCTGGGATTACAGGCCACTCCTGGCTTACTTTCCTTTGTTTTTCATTTGATCTGAAATGAAACCAATCTGACTACTTCTGGGTTCTGAGTGAGCTAAGGGCTTAGCAAGAACGCTCTTCCAGGCTGACAAGGGATGGAGGTAAAGGCCCAGCATACAGAGGCACTGCCAGGGGGGCAGGGTTTAGTACACTCATAATGCTACTCACCTCTGAGTGGGTTTAAGAAGGCCCTGAGAGTGTTATGGCCCCAAACTGTCTTCATGATAATCCCTGGAGCTGCCCTTTTTTGCTAGAAAGCCTATCCCGTGAACTCAGAGCCAGGAGCCAGCAGGCCTGGGAGGCTTCTTGGAGGAGGTAGGATGTGGGCATTGAAGGACAGTGGCCAAGGCACATCATAGGCACAGACCCTATAGGGGACCTCCAGGGAGGCCTGGGGCTGGAGCACCACTGTCCCTTTAGGCCAAAGGGAGCAGGAAGGGGAAACCTCAGGGATTCCACCCCCCTCTAACCAGGTCAGAGATTCTAGGAGCCTTGGCTTGGGCCAGACCAACAGGACAAGGATTGGCCTTGGTTGGAGAAGGAAGCAGCCTGAGAGCCCCAGACGGAGGCACCGTGCAGGAGTCCCTGCGCCTAGACAGAGCCATCTCCCTTTGACCAGGTAAGGTCCTTGTGGGGGCAGCTTCCTGGTGACACTCCTGCAAAGGTAACTCAAGCAGCACCAACCCCGGTGCCAGCCCTTACACTGCAAGCCAGGCCACTCTACAGCGAAGCCTGGAGGCCCTGGGAGACACCGCAGCCTTCTCATTCCTGGCCTGGCTTGCAGCTTGGTAACGTCATGAACTCCATAGGCCAGGGAGGGAGACAGCTAGGATGCCTGGCCACTGTAGGAGGGCACCTGGCTTGGGTCAGTAGGGGCCATGTTAACTATACCCTGAAGGGCCTGGTCCTGACCTTGGCCAGTGGGACAGCCAGGAAGGGTCATCATTATCTAATTCTCACAAAGATACCAGTGAGGTAGGAGCCATATGGTCTCAGAGCCTGGACAGATGCAAGCAGCGAGCAGTAGCTTCAGATGGGTTGGGGAGAACAGGCTTCCAGCCACCTCCCACCCTGTAGTGATCCGCTGGTGGCCTGGGGGCAGTGACTCAACCCCTCTGAGCCCAGCCTCCCGTAGGGAGGGACCACATCCTTTGCTGCTAGGCTGGCGGGAGGCTGGGTACCCGTGGAGGCACTCAGGAGGACTGTCTACTTTTTTTTTTTTTTTTTTTGGTTTTTCTCTGGTACCGGGAACCGAACTCACGACCTTGCACTTGCCAGGCAGGCGCTTTGCCGCTGAGCTAAATCCCCAGCCCCGGGAGGACTGTCTATCAGCTGGGTCCCTCTGACTCCAGCACTGTTTCCCCAAGCTGGGGATGGAGGTTGAGATGAACCGTGTCACGCAAGAGCTGTGTTTGGCAGAGATACTTGGGTGGGCTGGGATGGCTTCGTTAGGAGGAAATGATTGTGTAGTTTATTTAGAAGAGTTTCTCAGACTGCCGGCAAACTGGATCCCAGGGGAGCTCTGCCTCTCCCAAGAAGCCTTCAGCGATGAGAACAGCTGGGTTTGTTCTGCTGGAGGAGACGAAAGGATCCTGGAGGTGCGGGGCTGGTAGCTTCCGAAGCTGGAAAGGCATGGAGTCTCAGGGGAGCCTCCCGGAAGCAGTACTGCCCACTGGCCCCAGCCTGGAGAGACCTGTGCTGACTTTCTGACTTCTGGAGCTGTGAGATAACACGTTTGTGTTGTTTTAAGCCACTCCACTTGGTGCAGCAACAAGAAACTCAGAGAGGGGCCTGAACTAAGGTAGTTCACAGAAAGGGAAGTTAAAATGAGCCCTCATGCACACAGAGACCATCTCCTCTTGGGGAGAGAGGCAGAAGCTCACAGGGTCTAGCAGCAACACTCTGCCGAGTGAGGGTGCTCGCACTGGCGGTGGGCAGAGTGACTTTGTAAATGTGCTTGCCTCTGACCAAGGCATTGCTTCTCTGACCAGGACACCCAGGCTTCCCGTGGATGTGATAGGCAGCATCTCTGGCCTACAGAAGAGAGTCAGCAGATTTCTCTCTTTTTTCTTTTTTTTTTTTTTTTGAGACAGGGTCTAATAGTAGGGTTTTGCTATGTAATGTAGGCTAGCTCTGAACTCGCTTGTATAGCCCAGGCTTGACTTGAACTCATTGCAATCCTCCTGCCTCAGCCTTCTGAGTGTTGGGATTACAGGTGTGCACTACCATGCCCAGCAGCATCTTTACTTTTATTTGAAGAGGTGTAAATTGTGGAAGCAGCTAAGCATGGTGACCTATGGGGGTGGGTGCAACCCAGAGCTCTCTCCACAGATACTCTCTCTCTCCATATATATATAGTTTGTTTGGTTTGGTTTTTTGAGACAGGATCTTGCTGTGTAGTCCAGGCTGGTCTCAAACTCACCGTGATCCTCCTGCCTCAGCCTCCTGAATGCTGGGATTATAGGTGTGCACCACCATGTCCGGCTTACAGACTCTGTATTTTCGAACCAGTTCAAGCTGCCACTGGATGGAGTCTGATGAGTGCCTCCTAAACGCAAGATGGGACCCTGGAGAGGCCTCTGTGCCTGTTGTTGCCGAGCCAAGTGATCAGCCACAGTAGCCTGAAGAGAAGCTGGGGCAGGAATTGGGGCTGTGTTGCCTGGAAGGGGACGAGAGACGTCATTTGTCAGGTTGCTGTCCTGGGAGTGAGCACCGAAGGAAGCAGACCCCGAGTCCTTGGAGAGCTGTGACCGCTGCCTCGATGTTTCAGCCTCCTCCTGCCGCCCCAGTCTGCTGTGTGCTCCTTGCCTACCGCTCACACAACTCCAGGCACAGACGGCTCCCTCTCCACGGCTGGGCTGCACCACATCTACTTTCGAGCCGAGGGCCTGGCTTGGTGCTGGACCACGTTGTGATCTTCCTCTCTGGTCCTGCCTAGAGCAACGTGCCAGGCTGGCTGAACTGGGACTCCACCACTAGCTTGCACAAAGCTTGTGGGAGAGCTGTGAGTGTGGGTCCTGTGCCTCACGGACAGGCCTTCAGGGGAGACTGGTGTCCTAGGGCTGCCACCAGTGGGGTCCAGGGAGACCCCCCCCCAAATAGGAGACGAGGACCTCAACTTGCTCCTGCTAGGTCCTTGATGCCTCACAATAGAATTGCACGAAGGAGTGCATTCTGGGAGGGTGAGCAGAAGGGTTGCAAATTTGAGCCCAGCCTGGGGAACTCAGTGACTTGGCAAGACCCTGTCTCAAAATAAAGTACAAAAAGGGCTGGGCATGTACCAAAGGTCAGAGGCCCTGGTCCAATTGTAGGGAAAGCTGGGGGACAGGCAGGGAAAGATAAGGACCTTAGTGAGGTTTCTGGAAAATCCTTGCTGGAAAGGATTAAATCCCTGCTAGGAAGAACAATTAAGAGAAGCAGCGAGAACCGATATGTAGCCTGGCTCCATCGGGCACCGGGGCCTCGCATGCTCCCCTCTACCTCCAGTTAGGTACAAAGGACACAACGTGCAGCGGGGGCTCTATTATAGAAAGCTCACGTAGTATGTAAAATATATACTCACACACCTACATATAAGTACATATGTATGTTTTATTATCTCTCACCATGTTAATGCACTAAAATGTACATGTATCCCTTTATTAATTGATAACTTGGCCTTACCTGTAAGGCTGTGCTATAAATTTCACAGATATCACCTTGACAACAAACATAAAGAAGGCCAAAAGGAGCTTATCCAAGAATTTGTACATAGCACAGAGGGCCAGTGCCCAAATCAGGGGTCTCAGAGCCAATCAAGTTATAACAACTCTCAAGGGGTAGAATCCTTTTCTTGCCATATCATAAAAAGGGCTAAGAACAGAGACCCTCTCGCACAGGCTGTGGGCTCCCTACTCTCCTCCCTCCTCCAACAAGGTAGCTGTCCATCCCATTTCTCTCCTCTTTCCAATAAACTGATTTCTAAACTTATATCCCTAATTCTCTATTGGCATAAAGTTTATGAACCCTAGATAGAGAACATCTACCCTCGCTCCAGATGTAACACAATCCCCAGTAGAGGTGGGGGAAGGTGTCTGGGGTTGGAGATAATTTATGTGGTCTTGGGTATTCTCAAGTCGGATGACCTGGGATGTCTATTTTAGTTACGGATCATTTACCTAGTGTCTGTTTCCTTTAGGTCAGGTGGTTCATCACTTAAGTCAGTGGGCTGAGTATACAAGAGTGGGCAAAAAATGTCTTTATCAACTATGTTAAAATGCAAATGGTGTGTTCAAAGCTTGGAGATGTGGTACCTAATGAGTACTGCTATTTCTCTGAGAACGGAAGTCCTTGGAATGTATGGATTTATAATATTCGTCTAGGTTTTTTTTTTTTTCTCCTGGTATTGGGAATTGAACTCACGACCTTGCACTTACCAGGCAGGCGCTGTGCCACTGAGCTAAATCCCCAGCCCCTGGATTTATAATATTGGAAGAAAAGTTTATGGACTTCTTGTATCTTTAAGAGTTAGGAGTTCAGGAGCAAGGGCTCTCACAGTGGGAGATGGTGATGATAGCTGGGGCTTCCTTATGCTCCTGTTCAGACCACAACAGGCCAGGGCCAGCTGATAGACTCTTAATGCCTACTGAACATGCAAAATTTCGAGCTGGGAGTTGAGTCTCTGCATGTTCCAGGTCCAAAAGCAACAAGGTCAGTTGACCATGGACTGAAAATTGAACCATGAGCCAAAATAAACCTTGTCTCCTTTTAAGTTATCTCAGGTGTTTTGTCACAGTAATGGAAAGATAACTGACACAAACCCTAAAAGTCAGAGGACTTGATACAGCATGGCGGCACTTACGTCAACTTTGCTCCTGGCTCCAATCTCAATTACTTGACATTGCCGACATTACATAATTACACTTGCATCTTTTCAGAATGAGGAGCAGAGGAGGAGGTCTTTGGAGGCACGAGATGAACTAAAGCTGAAGAATTTAATTAGTCATTTATTTGTCCACTGTTGTGGCACATTGAGATCCTGGAGCCGTGGCACGCGTGCTCAGAGGGTACACTGAACAAGGCAAGTGGGGAATAAGAGGCTGTGGAGCATGGGGAGAGCATGATACACTGCTGTGTGTCAGCCCTCTGTCTGTGATGAGTGGAGTGACAGGTACCTCAGGACAACAGGGACCTTCATCAGTGGTGTAATGACCACCAACGCACCGTCTGTGAAGTGGTCTAAGGATACTGCGGCAGGATCGATGGAGTGTGAAAAATGAATTGTTTGCAGATACAGTCAACAACTTTGTGTTTGTGAGAAAGTCATTCATCATTTGGAAACCACCTTTAGTAAAAGATGCACCTGGATTACTAGTGAGACAGGCCATCATTTTCTCCTGAGACACTGGCCAGCAGAAGGCCACCATCAGGACCCAGAGAATAGACACACATACTTACTTCTATTTGAAGACAAGTTGAGAGTCACTTAAAAATGGAAAAAAGCATCATTCTGAGGGAGAAAATTTGCAGTAGGCACAGGAGAGAGGCCCTGAAAGCCCCTTTTATGGGGTGTGCTGCCCAGGTGCCTGCAGGGAGGGACACTGGAAGGAGAATGCCACTGTTATCTGGGGCCTCCCAAGGCCTTGTGTGTGTTCAAGGAGGGAGAAATTCAGTTTAGGGAAAGAAGGTGGCTTGCCTGCAGGCTTCTGAGTGTGACATTTTTCTGGGAAACAAAAGGAAAAAGGATATATATTTTTTTAAATCAGGAATTCAGCTGGGCATGGTGGTGCACGCCTGTGATCCCAGCACTTAGGAGGTTGAGGCAGGAGGATCTCTGAATTCAAGGCCAGCCTAGACTACCTAGTGTGTTCAGGGCCACCTGAACTGTATAACAAGACCTTGTCTCAAAACACGGAAAAAAACAAAAACCCTCAGGAAGTTAGGAGTGAGCAGCCTAGAAGGAAAACAGGCCTAGGGCTGAAAAAGGCACTATGTAATCTTGGATAACTTTGTATCTTGAAGGTGCAGTTTTCTTGAAAGTACAATGTTAAAATTACAATTTCCTTCTCTCCTTGCCACCTGTCTTTATCTCCCCTGTCCTATCTCAGGACCTTAGCTCTGAGTTAACACTATGTAGCTATGGCTGGAAACACCATAAGTGAAGACCTCCTCACAGAGAGCTGAGCCGCTCCTTTCTCATTCTTAAAAAATCGGAGCCTAAGTGGGTTTAGGCGTCAGGGCAGGTGTGTGCCCAGGGATGAGCCTGAGCCAATCCTGGATCCTAACAAGTTTCAGCAGTGCTCAAGCCAGAAGTCATCCGGACCCTGAGCTCGCCCTACCTTCCCTCATCTCTGCCCACCTGTGCTTAGAGGCTTCACAGAGGCCTTGAGAACCGGAGAGGAGAGCTTCTTTTTAACAAACGCTTGGTCCATGACTTTGCTGCCTCCTTTCCCACAGAGCGGCAGTGCTCTGTCTGGGGGCCCTAGGGCTCTGCCCCTGTCTGGCTTCTGCACCATTCTGGGGAAATGGAGCCTGCAGTGTGGAGCTGAGCTTCACTTCACTCTCAGGGAACTTTACCTTAGCTTTTGAAATTACTTTATATTTTTAAGTGACTCAAGAGGTTAAGGCAGGAGGATCATCACGAATTTGAGGCCAGCCTGAGCTATGTAGTGTTAAGTCAAGACCAGTCTGAACTGAACTGCATAGCGAGGCTCTGTCTCAAAAAACAAAACCAAGCAAAAAATTAAGTGATAGAATTGGCTGATTAATCTTTTACATGTTTTTCAGTGTTTGTATTTTAATTTATTTACTTATTTATTTATTTGTGGTTCTGTTGAGACCAGGTCTTGCTATGTTACAGAAAATGCCCCCCGACCAGTATATGTCAGCTTTTTAGTTACTCAGGTAACAGTTCCTGTTCCAATTCTGGTTGCTTCTGGTCTCTTAGAAATGGCTGGTCACCATGATGCACATTGTGTAAACCAATCCCAAACTGACAAGCCATTCTACCTCTGTACTTCCTGCTTATCGCATATAAGCCCTAGACCACCGAGATCAGGGCCTGATATTTTGGGAATGATCCCAATCAGTGCCCATCGATGTAAATAAACCTGCCTCCAAATCCTGGTCATCAGTGTTTCTGCTTGTCTTTGCAGCTATACAGAGCAGGCTGGCCTTGACTCATTATGTAGCCCAGGTGGAACTCGGTGACCCTCATGCCTCAGCCTCCCAAGTACTGGGATTACAGGTGTATGCCACCACATCTGGCTTTTATTTTTCAGTGCTTTTAAAAATAGTATTTTAGCCAGGTGTGGTGGTGCAGGCCTATAATCCCAGCATTTTTGAGGCTGAGGCAGGAGGATCATTGTAAGTTTGAGGCCATATAGTGAGTTCAAAGCCAGACTGAACTGCATAGTGAGGCCCTGACTCAAAAGAAAAACAAAAACAGAACAAAAAATAAAAACAAAAACAAAGAATAGTATTTTATGCCCCTGAATTGGGTACTCTTTGAAGTGTTTGCTATTGAGGTTCCAGACATGATTCTGAGAGCACAAGGCAAGTTTTTTTTTGTATCTTTTGAGACAGGGTCTCTGTAAGCAGTTCAGACTGGCCTTGAACTCACTTTGTAGCCCAGGCTGGCCTCAGACTCACAGCAATCCTCCTGCCTCAGCTTCATGAGGGCTGGGATTACAGATATGTGCCACTACACCTGGCTAAGAAGATGTATTACAGGGGCTGAGCGTGGTGGCGCATGCCTGTAACCCCAGCCTTCGAGAGGCTGAGGCAGGAGGATTGTTGCAAGTTCGAGACCAGCCTCAGCTACAAAGTGAGCTTAAGGCCAGCCTGAACTGCATTGTGAGACCCTGTCTCAAAAAGCCAAAAAAAAAAGAAGATGTATTATAGGAAGACTTATTACATTATGTAGAATGCTGTTTATCATGTACCAGTGAGACAGATGTAGAAAAACCTCAAATTAACTTATGTATGAAAATATAGAAACACTCCTTTTCATCATAGTCATTTGCCCTGGCTCCACAGCTCTCACCTGGGATTAGAGAAACTAAGTACTGTTGTGTAGGAGGGCGATGGCTGTAAGGAAGCAGACATATCCATAAGTGAAGTCAGCGGCATGGTAATGAACAGAGTACACAGCTGCATACCAGGAATAGGATACCAGATTTTGGAAATGCAATCTTAACCCTGGCTTTAGCATTGTTTTTCTGGCTCTCTCAAGCTACAGGCTTGTAACAACTCACAGCACATTCTGCTTCAGAAATTTATGTGATTGGATTTGGTTCTAATGAAGACGTCATGGTTCTCTATGGTTATAATGTTTTATGGTTCATGTGTCTCTTGTAAAGATTGTCTTTTTCTTTTGCTCTGGATAGTGGAAAGAACCTACAAACAGCAATTCCTTTTTGAAAAACTCATTGGACATCTAACTGCAAGGAGGGCTTGAAAATCTGTTGGTCTTTATTTCTGGTTGAAGGAAGTAGAAAATATAAAAATGTGGCTATCCTTCAGGTCCTATTTAACTGCTGAGGTCCTCAGGGGCCAGTGGATGTAATAATCTTACTTGCTTTCTTATTTAGTATCTCAGTTCTAGTTGTCTGTTTTGCTCACCTGCTTTACATCCATGAGATCTTCCTTGATTGTCACTACAATTGGGAACTGGTAATCTGGTGCATCTCCTCAATACTTTTTCTCTTAAGATTTGTTACCATGGGGGTCAGTATCAAGTTAAAAAAAAAAAAAAGCAATGCCACAATATTATTTACTGAACAAATAACCTCTCCTTGAAAATGGAGAAGAAATCTAACAAAAAGGCGTGACTGACACCAGTGAATAATGTTTTTAAAGTGACTAATATACTACTAAAGGAATTGGACAGCCCCTTTAGATTATATGGTTCATAATGAATCGACTACTTTATAACATCACCCAGATTGTCATCCTGTCAGCTGTTTCTGGTGTTATCAGTAACTTGCTTG